AATCATATTGGCTTTTTCCATTTGTAGCTGTAACAAACAGTTTTCTTGGAAATTTTGTTTTGTTTCAACTTCCCCCATTCTTTTCCTAATTTTCTTGTTTGTGGTGTCTGTCTCTTTAATTCTCTCAGTCGCATGCTCCACCTTCTTCTCCGTTTCTGCCAGTTGGAGCTGCTGTGCTGCAAAGTTTTGATTCATCAAAGTCAGTTGCTGGTTAATACCATTGAGTTGCTCCATCACCGGCTTAAGCATATCCGCTAACATTTTCATGACGTCTGCTCCCTCTTCCAGTTTTGGGCTCTGACTACCTGGCGGTTTCGTTTTAAACTTTCTTTGCGAGGCCGCCATTTTAACCGATTGTTTACAATTCCAAACCGCTTCTCACGGGCTCAAAAAATCGTCGCCTCAATGTCAGCGCTCAAGTAAGTCTCTCAAAACAAGATCACTGCTTGTTTCCCCCCTCTGCCCCTTCGTTATGCTTCTCTGTTCTTTCGCATCTTTGTGCTTCGCTTTTCCCACGGGGGGGTAGTTCGCTTTTAAAATGTTTTATTTATTTTGAACTTACGTTCATTGTTGGTCATTTCTCTGATCTCGCTCACAACATTCGATACTCCGCTCGATCTCCAGCGCTTGTCCCGGTCGAATCAGCTTGTTCCCGAGGGCCACACAGCGGCAGGACCGTCAGGGCAGAGTGAAGCCTCTATTCTCCGGCATCGAGCCATCGAAGAGGCTACCCCTCAAAAGCCCTCTGGCCTGGAGCCTATCGCAAAGGCTCCGTGGGGATGCCACTTGAGGTAGCACCCCTCCATACCGCTGGTGTGCTAATCGCTCCCCCGAGATCTGGGGAGAGCGATCACCATCGCCAATCCACAAACCGGAAGTCGAATTTCCTTTATCTTGTATGAAGATTGTGTCAGACATTGAAAACTAGATTTCTAACAGAGGAGTAGGATGAGGACTGAAGCCTATCATAAAGTCAAGTTCTCTGACCTTGCAATTCTTTTCCCCTGTTTCTTGCCTGAAACAGCCATCCTGTTTAAGGCAAAAGAGTCTGGTGGGGTTGATTTGGTTTTACTTTGAATATTTTTCACAAAACATGATAATGAACAGTCCTGGAGCATAATGAACAGTACTGGAGCATATCATTGTCTAAATTAAGATCAGAGTCCTGCCTGCTGTAACATCAGTGTGGCAGGAGAAGTCAACAGTGTCTAAAAGCCGGACTTTTACAATGATGGCTCCAAAACTTTTAAACCTTCTTACATAAGGATGATCAAAAAGCTCTAGCTCTCCTGTGGTCCAGAAAGGATGCTTAACTCACATCTTTCAATAGGGTATTTGGTTGATTTAAGGTTCTCTTATGGCAGTTCTGCCTTGTTTGTTTTGTTGGTTTTTTACTGTTTACATAGTTCTTTTCAGTTGTGGTCTAACTGCATTGAGCTTCTGCAAAAGCTGGTTTTAAAGCATTTAAAATAAACTGTATTCTTTGCCCCCCCCCATGTCTCTTCAAAGTACCACCAGCTCAACAGCAAGTAGTTGTGATACTGAGTTCACGAAGGAGGATGAACAGAGATTGAAGGACTATATTCAGCAGCTGAAGAATGACCGGGCAGCTGTGAAGCTGACCATGTTGGAACTGGAGAGCATCCATATCGATCCCCTTAGTTACGATGTCAAGCCACGCGGAGATAGCCAAAGGCTGGATCTAGAAAATGCGGTACTCATGCAGGAACTCATGGCAATGAAGGTATTTTATTTAGTGGCTTAGAAGTTAATATTGCTTTTGGCTTCTGTTTTTACAATGTAGCTGCAGTGTTTCTGTTACCTAAAAAGTGTTTAATTTTTTAAAACCACCATGGCAAAAAACTGGCCCAGAAGACACGGAACACTGCCTTAGGAGCAAGAGGATTGAGGACGGACGGTATAAAATGCAATGTACGTAATACTTGACTTTGAGAAACGTAGGAGCTAGCATTATCACCCACTGTGTGAACCTTGTGTCCTAATGGCATAGAAGTCTATGAAATAACAGACTTGCTTGGTCTTCTGTGCCTCCCGACCAGGAGGAAATGGCAGAGCTGAAGGCGCAGCTGTACTTGCTAGAAAAAGAGAAGAAAGCCCTGGAGCTGAAGCTGAGCAGTCGAGAAGCTCAAGAGCAGGCCTACCTGGTCCACATTGAGCACCTGAAGTCAGAAGTGGAAGAGCAAAAGGAACAGAGAATGAGATCCCTCAGCTCAGCTAGCAGCAGCAGTAAAGATAAGGCAAGTAAGGTGAGGTGCTCTTTAAGATCATCTGATGATACTTTGTTGGAACCCCCATGTTCAGAGGCAGTATACCAGAGTTTAGAGACATGTAACAGGTAAAGAGCTATTGCCTTTATTTTCTGCTAGCAGGCTTCCCAGAAATTTACAGCTGGGCACTGTTGATTATAGAATGCTGGTTTAGGTAGGCTTCTAGCTGGATCCAGGAAGAGTTCTTCTTGACAGAGATGTCAGATAGTTTGACAGAGATATCAGGAGATATTTATAGTGTCAGCCTGCCGGGTACTACTTTCTGAATTTCATCCTGATTCCCCCATGTGGAATGCTAACAGAAAGGAAGGTTTCATCTGCCCATAACTACCATAAACTTAATGTCCTTGGGATTCCTTTCAGTGTATTTACAGGTGGAAAAGGGTGGTGCTTCAGTAATCGTTCCTTATGGTAAGAATATTGAGCCTTAATCTGCACTCCTGAGAGAGCTTTCTTCAGACCCTCCAGGAGTGCCTGCAAGTAGTAGTCTTGGGGGATCCCATGGCACAGTCATCCTCCTCCCGCTGAAGCCATGCAGAGGCACCTGGCCATCTAACCTCCCGCCCTCCAGGCACTGCAGAGGGGAAGAGCCAGGTAGTGGGAGCTGCTGTATTTCACAGGTCTCTGAAATATGAAACAATCTGAGTACTATAGGAAACTGCCAAGTGAAGTGTGGATTTTCTTGTAATGGTTTATATCATAAGCTAAATAGTATCCAAGAGGTCTGCTTCTATCTATAATAGCTCTCAGATAAGCACAAGAAACTTGACAGAGGGGACATCTCACTGCATTACTTAGGCGGCTGCGGCGGCTGCTGCTGGGGAAGGACTTGGTAGCATAATAAAGAATTGGCTGGGCAGTTTAATCATAGACTTAATGCTGTGATAAGAAGTAGGGAGCCAAAAATGGGCATGTACCACATTTTGTACACTTGCCTCTGTGTAGCGCGGAAAGGGAACCACACATGGCAAAAAGAGCTGTTCAGAATCTGAAACACTAATGTCCTTGATGTTACTTATTTTAAAAGGCCATATTGAGTGTGAGTGCTCCATGTCTTTTAAAAACAGAATGTTCCCCAAGCATGTGGATTATCCTGCACAGTTGGAGAAGGTTCCAACAGGGAGAAATCTCCTAGGTCTGCCTTTTTCTCTCCCTCCCCACCCCTAGCCTCAGCCACTGAAATTAGAATGCCCTGATTCTTGAGTCTAGTGTGTAGATGCTACCTGAGGAATGGGGGGGAGTGCCAGTTGCAGCTAACTCCCCTCTTGTGCCAGTGTTTATCTTCCTGTGTTCTTTCAACCACATCCTCCACATCTCCTCTGCTTCTGCTATGAATTTTGGACTGGGAGGAAGTTCCTTCAAAGTGGCTCAGTTCTTCTTCCAGAGTGGCCCTGCCTTGCCCTTGAAAACCTATCTTGTTAAGTGAAAGAGGTCCTTTTAAAGCCACTTCCTCCATCCCTGTTCAAGCCTGCACTGCCACCAGCAGTAACACAGGAAAAACAGTAGATTTGAAGAGTGGCGTGGTGAGATATGCAGTGATGAGTGAGCCAGCCAGAAGTCCTGAGTGGATTGTATGGAGAGTGTGAACGTGTGAGGGGCAATCAATGACAATGTGAGAATATGTCTGTGTATGGGGGAATGCTCTGTGAAAGTTTGTATAAGCAACAGGCAGGGGAGTGAGAAAGAAATGGCCAGTGAGAAGTCATTACAAAAACATATTTGAGCCTTCTCAAAGGTCCCTGTTTGTCTGGCTTTATTTTACAGGAATGTACAGAGAGCACTACAGCATCATTAACATTAGCTGAGCTGAAACCCTACAGTGAAAGTGAACTTACTACAGAACTGGCAAATGCACTCAGACGGTAAGGAGGCTATTCCCCTTCTTGGGGAGAGAGGTGCTAATAAGTCTGTGATTTAATTCTGGGTTTTAAATTAGTTCAATGTTAAGTGGTTGTACAGTGCTGCAGTTCTAGAGTTTTCTAAGTTCTCCTTTTCTCCTTCCATTTTGTTCATCAGCTTGGTCCCCTCTGGTTTTCTCAAACATCTATCAATTGGGGATTTAATTATTATTGCTAATTCCCATATCACTTGTGATAACCCTGAGGCACAGGCTAGTTGACTGAGTTAATGAAAGGTCTCACGGGAACCACATGACAAATCTGGGAATAGCATTCCAGTCTCTTCTTCTGAATATTGCTGTGAGGTTACATCCCAGCAAGAACATGCTTTCTAGCCTTATATTAACAGTAGTGCAAAAAGTAACTAAATGCCATCTCAGTAATAACATGGAGTACACCACTACTAAACACTACGGAAGCATCACTGGCGGATGTCGTGTCTTCCCATCACTAAAAGCCAGATTATTTCTTTCATCAGTTTAAAAATATCAATATACCCACATCACTTACTTGCTTTTCAATACGGATAGAGCATTTATCAATAAAACAGTTGTTTAGAAATCCAAAAGTATCCAACAAACTTAGTACACAATGTGCTGAAGATGTAAAAATTAATAGTCTTTTATAAATACTTTATAAGATGCTGAACTGCAGACTGGAAGGTCGGTAGTTCAGCAGTTCGAGACCCAAGCACTGCATGACCGAGTGAGCTCCTGTCTCTGGTCCCAGCTCCTGCCAACCTAGCAGTTCAAAAGCAAGAAATTGCAAGTAGATAAATAGGTACCACTGCGGTGGAGAGTTAACAGCGTTCTGTGCGCCTTGGCGTTTAGCCATGCCGGCCACATGACCATGGAAACGTCTTCAGACAATGCTAGCTCTTTGGCTTGGAAACGGAGATGAGCACCACAACCTTAGAGTCGGATTCGACTGACTTTCAAGCAAGGGAAATCTTTACCTTTACGTCCGAATCAGAGCCAAGACCAAGGCAGGGTACTGTTTTCTGATAGTACATCTGATGAAACAATATACCAATTTTCAGGTTAAAAATAAGTCACCAGGGCCAGATAATACTCACCTAAGCAGTCTTAAAGAATGCATTGTTATCTCTGTTGAACTGTCATTTATTATGTTTTATGTATAAAAGCATCTAAAATACACTTTGTGCTATATAGCAATAAAATGTTCAAGTTTTTGCCCATATATTCACAGTCCAAAGAATGTGAGACAAAAGGAGAGAAAAGGAAGAATTTGCATTAGCAAAGAATAAAAGGAAGCAAAACTAGTTAAGATCTATACAATAGGCATCCAAAGTGTTAAGAAAGAATATAATGTATCACAGTATTCAGCCTGGACCAGACCAAATCCAATGTGACAGTAAATTTTGATGGATCCAGGACATTACAGGTCTGTCAGCCTAACAGCTTTTCCAGGCAAATTATAATACTGGTTAACAGACTGAAGGCGGATTATATAAAAGGAGGGATCAAAGCATGACCTGCAGCCACACAGCTTTGCAAATGAACTGCCTGTGGAGAATAATAGCAATTCATGCTCTGGTAGAAACCCAGCAATCTTGCCTTTTCTCTTTCACTCACTGGCTAATGCTGCCATCTCCAGCTGGGGGAAATGAACAAAGCGCCCTGCAGCCAGATTCTTGGGGAAGACGAGGCGCAATGTCCTCCTGTCTGGAGCCCTCTGGGGTGGGGTGTTCCATTAGCTCTACTCAGCCAGAAGAGGGAACATGGCAGCCGTAGTAGGGAATCCGCTGAGGAGAAGCAAGGGTGATGGCTTGAACCATCTTTCATTTTGCTGGTAGGTTTGCCTTGGCAATTCATTTGTAAATCTCTCACTTGCGGAGAGATTATTGGCATGATATCTGTAAAGTGGATAATTGTTTCACCAGCTTTTCTGAATGCGTTAAGAAGTATGTTTGCAAGTAGATAAATTAGACATGGTACACTTAGCTTTCTGAAAAGCTTTTGACTTTCGATTGAGAAGAAAAAGGTACTGAAAATTCAAGCAGCGGTACTCACAATGCTGTAATGTCTATTCTGTTGTGCTCCCACATTTTGAATACTGTGTGCTGTAGTGTTATTTTTTACATCTTCAACAAATTGCTTTCCAAACTCAAGAATGATATTAGGAACCAGGAGAAATATAGTGAAATGGCCAGACAGTTGTTGCATCTTCCTGCAAAATTCTAGGGAGATCAGGATGTAGTTTGAGAGGCACTGTGACGGAAGGGAGAGCCATAATAATGAGTTATAAAACTATCCATGGTATGAGGAATTCATATGTATTTCTCTTGCAGCACTTGAATTTTGTATAGTGGACCTATTAGTTTGCAGTAACAAAAAATCTTGTGACACTGTTAAGACGTTAAGAGAGCCAGTTTGGTGTGGTGGTTGAGTGCACAGACTCTGATCTGGGAGAACCGGGTTTGATTCCCCACTCCTCCACTTGCACCTGGCTGGATGACCTTGGACAAGCTGTAGTTCTGATAAGAGCTGTCCTTGAAAAAGAGCAGTTTCTGTCAAGAGCTCTCTCAGCCCCACCTACCTCACAGGATGTCTGTTGTGGGGAGGGGAGGGGAAGGGAAAGGAGTTTGTAAGCCGCTCTGAGACACCTTTGGGTAGTGAAGGGCAGGGTATAAATCCAATCTCCTCCTCCTCCTCCTCCTCCTCCTCCTCCTCTTCTCCTTCTTCTCCTTCTCCTTCTTCTTCTTATACATTTATTGTGGCAGAGGTTAGTCTGTCAAGTGTACAGTGGCCCCTAGCCTGGTAGTGTTGGAAATGCTGTGTTCCTATATACGAAGTAGGGTGAACAAAGGCAGCTATTTGATAATATTTGGGACAGATTTGAGAGAGTTTTTCATCCATTTCAACCTAAATTCAAATTATAGGCCTTGAGTTTGATCTTAGTAATATATGTTTGTGTAATTTAAGAATGGGCATTTATAGAGATATGGGAAAGTGGTATCTTGACTGAAAAATTTAAATCCATGCTTTCAGCCATACAATCTTCTGCATTTAAGAGCACCCTGGGTTTCTAAAACTACAGAAGTGCACACGGATGCTCCAGGGGCGTTAGTGTACAGCTGAGCCAGTATTAAATAAATTCATGCTGTGCAGGGAAACGTTAGCTTGGAGGTGTGATGAAATATCTGCCTGGTAATGGTGAAACATGAATGAGAAATTGCTATGTACTTGTACAAACCTATATATTTACTTTTGCAAAGCAATTATTTCCTGTGCACAGCATGGGTTGATTTTTACTAGCAAAAGTAGTAAATTGGGGTCCAAAGGAGTCATTTGTATGGATGTTTGTAGGGACATTTTACCAGCTTTCATTCTGTCTTGACAGTAAATGTATTTAAATCAGTCAGTTTCATTATCTTCCTTGGGGAAAACCTGGCATATTTCCAAATCCTTAACTAAGTTGTGAATTGGGTTTTTCCTGTAGTATGCTTCTGGCAACCTTTACAATAGCAAGTATTACATTTAATAAATCAGAGATCATTAGAACTATATAATCAGCATTCCTCTTACCAACTTTGTATAATCCTCCAGTTGCTACTACAGAATATTTAGTTTGGTTAATGCAGTAATAATAAATGGTCCTAATGAAAAAACAAAACAGGATTTGCCTGCAGACTTAACAATAACAGTAGCATAGGTCATTAAAAAGTCACCTGCAGGTCTTTTGCCTTTAGCTAGTGTTGTCCATCCCTTCAGGTTATTATTTTGTTCTTTAGATCTGACCATCCCCTCTCTTTTTATATGTAAGTGGAGAACCTGAATTCAGAGAGATGGATTTGCCAGTATCACATTTGATTTAGCCATTAGTTTCCTTCCCGTGATAAGTGTAGACAGCTGTATCCAAAGCTTGTGGAAGCAGATCTTTCCTCTGCATCCCTCTGTGACCCCTACAAAGGACTGACGGGGGTCAAGGCACCTCCATAGAATAAAAGCTTCTAGCCATTGGGGTGCTGGAGTGATGAAGGGACATGGGCCAAATCTCTCCTGCTTCCACTGGCACAGGAAGCTAAATTAACAGAAGAGGGAGACAAGATGTCTTCACAATCCCCCCTACATCATTGCAACTTCTTGTGCCACGTGACTTTTTGTCCATGTGAATTGCCCAACTTCCTTCAGCACTTTTTCAGTAGTCAGGTTGCTTCCATGTGGAGTTTTTGGTCCAGTTTGGTGACCAGATTGGAGCTCGTTTTTTTGGGGGGGGGGTGTTTTAGTATCCAGATTACATCGTCATCCAATCATCTACTCTTTGGGGTTTCCTGCTTTACACCGTGACTACCCAAACCTGCTTTGCTGTGATCTTTCAGTGGGATTGCATACCATATGGACTGGTATGCATCACTGTGGAGGATTTTTTTAAAAATTTTAAAACAATGATTGCTGTAGTATTAGAACAATACAGTGATATAGTTGTTACCAGTGGCAGGGGAGATGCTGGGAGTGAAGGGATGACTGAGGAAAGCACAGAGAGCCATCCATCCCCACGTGGTTTCTTGGTTGTCCCTGTGAATGTTTGTTCTCATGCCTTGTTTCAACTGTTTCAGATTTCTGTAGTCCAAATCCTATTTCATTGGATGTCATATCCCATCCGGGTGAATGTACTGATATTGTGTAATCCTGCCTTGAGTCTCTGGGAGAAAGCTGAACAATAAATAAATAAATAAATAAATGGCTGCATAATGGGGAAGTGTTGCTATCTGGAAGCGACAACAGAAAGCTGCTGTGAGAAAGATCTGCTTTGTAGGATCTTCCCCAAAGTATCTATTGAAACTACCTCTAGTTTTCTAAGACCTCTTTTGTTAAATTGGAATAAGCTTTTTACATTTTGAATATGTGGCATGAGTGTCTCTTGTGTAAAATCTGCTGTATTTCAAAGCAGAGAGGGAGAGAGAGAGATTTCCTAAATGAAAATTATATGAGTAGAAAAAG